AACTATTGGGACTTCATCAAGATAAGAAGCTTTTGCAAAGCAAAGGAAACAGTTAACAAAACCAAAAGACAACCGACAGAATGGGAGAAGATATTTGCAAATGACAGATCAGATAAAGGGCTAGTATCCAAAATCTATAAAGAACTCATCAAACTCAACACCCAAAGAACAAAGAATCCAATTAAGAAATGGGCAGAAGACATGAACAGACATTTTTCCAAAGAAGACATCCAAATGGCCAACAGACACATGAAAAAGTGCTCAATATCGCTCGGCATCAGGGAAATCCAAATCAAAACCTCAATGAGATATCACCTCACACCAGTCAGAATGGCTAAAATTAACAAGTCAGGAAACGACAGATGTTGGCGGGGATGCGGAGAAAGGGGAACCCTCCTACACTGTTGGTGGGAATGCAAGCTGGTGCAGCCACTCTGGAAAACTGTATGGAGGTTCCTCAAAAAGTTGAAAATAGAGCTACCATATGATCCAGCAATTGCACTACTGGGTATTTACCCCAAAGATACAAAAGTAGGGATCCGAAGGGCTACGTGCACCCCGATGTTTATAGCAGCAATGTCCACAATAGCCAAACTGTGGAAAGAGCCAAGATGTCCATCGACAGATGAATGGATAAAGAAGATGTGGTATATATATACAATGGAATATTATGCAGCCATCAAAAGGAATGAGATCTTGCCATTTGCAACGACGTGGATGGAACTGGAGGGTATTATGTTGAGTGAAATAAGTCAAACAGAGAAAGACATGTATCATATGATCTCACTGATATGAGGAATTCTTAATCGCAGGAAACAAACTGAGTGTTGTTGGAGTGGGGGGTGGGGTGGGAGGGATGGGGGGACTGGGTGATAGACACTGGGGAGTGTATGTGCTCTGGTAAGCGCTGTGAATTGTGCAAGACTGTTGAATCTCAGATCTGTACCTCTGAAACAAATAATGCAATATATGTTAAGAAAAAAAAAAAAAAAGAAGAAGAAGAAGAAGGTAGCGGGAGGGGAAGAATGAAGCGGGGGAAATCGGAGGGGTAGACGAACCATGAGAGACGATGGACTCTGAAAAACAAACAGGGTTCTAGAGGGGAGGGGGGTGGGAGGATGGGTTAGCCTGGTGGTGGGTATTGAGGAGGGCACATTCTGCATGGAGCACTGGGTGTTGTGCACAAACAATGAATCATGGAACACTTCATCTAAAACTAATGTTGTAATGTAAGGGGATTAACATAAGAATAAAAAAATTAAAAAAAAAAAAAAAAAAAAAAGAACCTCAGCCTAGATTGACAGAATGCTATTTCTTCTCAAGGCTTTAGTACCCAGGGCAGAAAAATGTCCTTGTTTTCCCTTGCAGACTTCAGTTTTATGAGTCTCTTTTTAATGATGTCATTAGGAACTGTCTAAGTTCTGGGAGGAGTGATCATTCTTTGGATTTTTCCAGTATTCTCCTGCATAAAGTTTGTTGGACTCTAACTCTGGGCTAAAGTGGTATTGTCTATAACCACTGGGTCTTCTTGCAAAACCTCAGGACTATGGAGTTAAGAGGCATTGAGTGAGTCCTAAAGGTGGGTGTGATAAAAGGGACTACACTTGATAGTAAGGTCTCTCAATGCTGATTAGCAGGAAAAAATCCATTTCACAGACACAATGGTTTTTCTCTTCATCTCCATGACAACTGCAAGGCCAGCAACTGCCAGTAAAAAATGAGAGATACCACTTATCCAGTTTCCTAAGAATCCCATAGAGTTATGAGGTTTGAGCCCCAACATGAGGAGGAAAGAGGTCAGTATAACAGACCTCAGGCTGCTGGTACGTAACCTGTTTGGTATCTTCTAACATGGCCTTGAGGACCACTTTTTGACCACTTTAACTTCCCTCACTCTTCCCTTTGCTCTCAACAAGGGCCATGTTCAAAAGGAGATGAGGAAATATTTTGTGGCCATGTACAGTAATACAGACCTTCTTAGATTCATGGTTGCTTGTATATTTTCCATGGAAAGGAGAAAAGAACAATGATCCTGTCCCAGCCAACTCAAACTGGTAGCAAACTCTTCCTCATCCATCAGACTCTCAGCCCGAGGTCACCTCCTCTGGAAAGCCACTCCTGATTCTCTCAGCAAGAGTTCATGTCTCATACACTGCTGTTACAGCATCTACCTTGATGTTTCTCCAATAGATCTTTCTCCCCACTGGTTTTAACCTTCAGGGGAACAGTCCACATCCCTTCATCATGATCCTCGCCCCCACCCCAGTGCCTAACACTAAACCAGGCACAGTGTTGGCAGTGGTAAATATTTTCTAAGTGATGGTGGACCAGCAGGCAAGTCCCCACATCTCTGTGGCCTTTTTCATAAAGTTTACCCTAGTCTCTGAGGCTCACAATCATCCTGGATTGAGTCCAAGAATGGTAAGAAGCAAAAGGAAGCCCACTGTGCAAAAGTTTTGAAGAAATAAGATTCTTGTCTTGAACAATTACTAGCTCTCATTGAGCTCATCAGCCTATCATGTTATTTCAGAGGTGTCCATCCTCCTTCTCCTCTTAACTTTTACCCACAGTGTGTTTAGAAAGCACCACGTGGTGGGCTGAGCCCAACCATTAAGCAAGAAGTGATTATACTAAGAGGTTCCAGAAAGAACCAGTACTCAAAGGTTGCTGGGTAGATTTCAGACCCCCTTGCTCATTTACATGAAAAAGGAGAATCTCACTGTTCTTCCAGAACTATCTCATCATCTCTCCACCTCCACCTCGTGACTGAGTTTTAGCTGCATTGATACTTAATATGGACTTTTGACAAGCCATCCATTCATTCACTCAACTCACATGTATTAAATACTTACTATGTGCCGAAGATTATTCTAGAGAATAAGAATTCACCAAGGGTATCAAGACAGACATCATGGCCCAGCAAGAAAGATAAACAATAAATAAATTTCACCATTTTCCATTAATTATAATAAGTTTTACCAAAAGGTTGAGTTAGGTATTATAAGAAAGTAGAATAAGGGGATTCAACCTAGGAAAATAAAATTTTGAGGCTGAAATAAAGAAGATGACAAGATGGCTGAGAATTACCTAGGGCAGCAAGGGGCTAAGGGGAATGCTTATGACAGCCCCTAGGTAGGAAGAAGACTGGCATAGCACAAAGGCATCTCCAAGCTCTATACAGAGGATTTACTATATGAATTTTAGTGAAACTTCTATGGTAGCAAGAAAGAAATACCCTTCTAGCTAACTAGTGTGTGGGGAGAGTTATTGAAAGGAAAACAAAAGTATCTCAAAGGAGCCAACAGGGGAAATAGGTGGGCTTTGTGGGAATTAGAAGACCAATAAATGTCAGAGCTCCTTTCTGTGACTCTAAATAGCTTCTTTTCTCCTCTTCCCTTACTCCTGCCTTCCTGCCTTTCTTTCTTCCGTCTGTTAGTCTCTACCTCTGTCCCTCTCTCTACCTCCTTCTCTCTGTTTGTCAAGTGTCTTATTCTTTCACATGTTCCAATATGGCCCCTACCTATGAGTCTACATGATCTTGCTATTTCAGCTGCACTGCTAATTGCAATCTCAATATCTCTCAGTTCATTTGCTTAAGAGAGTAAATCTGGTTGACTGTTGCCCACTTAATTGAATTAGTTGGTTGATTTGGGTCAGATGCCCACATACTACACATTTTTTTTGCCACCCAGAATTGGTGAACCAATTCATGTCCCATGTGATCCAGGTGGAATTCTACCCTCAGCCACAGGGATGGCGGAAATAACTCATTCCTAAGCAACTCAACACAACATATCCCTAGCCTTAAAAAAGGTGGTTCAGGGTATGTACATAAGTCAGACTTTGGGTGAGAATTTGGGGATAAAAGACAGTACAAGAGGAGATATTCACCCTTCCTTTAGATAGCATGATGTGATGTTATAAGGTGCAGATCTTTAGCAAGCTTTCTGTGACATTAAGGGGAGCCAGACTGAGCATTGGGCCAACACAAGGAACCCAAACCAAGATTTGGGAGAAAAATTCAGTTGTGATATCATCTGAGTCCTGATTTCAGCCTCACTGGAAGCTGGTCTACCCCAGGACATTTCAAACCAATAAATTCCCTTCATTGTTTAAGCCAGTTCCAAGTTGGATTTTTCTGTCACTTGCAAAAAAGAAGTCAAACTGATGTGGCTTGCCCCTTGACCTGATCAGTATGGACCAGAGTTAAGGAGGGCAAGTTCATGTTTCAAGTGGGAAATGATTCTTTGAGAAGGTGATTAATCCAAAATATATTTAAGGCACTTGGACAACCTAGAGGTATAAAGAAAAAAATAGCATAACTAAAGCATGTTGCTATTACAACTGAATTCATAAGCAAGGAAGGAAAAAAATAGAGGTCAGTTCTGATACTGAATTGCTTTATCTTCTTTTCTAAAGAATTCTAATCACGTTTTTCATCACTTCATTATTTTTTTTCAATTTTTCTTGAAAACAGTAACTATTCTTTCTACTATTCCTTTTAGAAATAGCTACAGGCTATGTTTGAAACATCTCAAATGAGCTCCTCTTGAATTATTCATGTGAGAAAATCTCTATACGTATCCAGAAATAGGGTGTCTTTCTGTCTCCAAACTTAAAAACAACTGATTGCATTTTGCTAAAAAGAAACTGTTTCAACCGAAACCAGATTCAAAAAATATCACCCCATTTTTCTTTCCACAAATCAAATTTGCTGGAGAAAACTGGGGAAAAAATCGAACTATAATAAAACATTTGACTCTTTCTTACTATATGTTTATGTATATATCTCTTAGCTGTTAGAGATTGTAAATGACTAGAAGGCAGGCAGCTATCTACTCAACTAGGGTGAATATTTTTCTAGCACAATACCACAATATCTGAGCAAAATTTCACCAGTGGTAGATGTTATTATAACTCTGGGCTATAAGATGAAAACCTTCTATGTAAATCAGGTCTCTATTTACTTTTCTGCTCATACTTTTCTTTTTCTTTATAAGGAGCGCAAATTTCCCAAGTTTGTATCCAAAGAAATGGAGAACATGTACATCGAGGAGCTGAAGTCATCAGTCAACCTGCTCATGGCCAACTTGGAGAGCATGCCAGTGTCCAAAGGCGGCGAGTTCAAGCTGCAGAAACTCAAACGCAGCCACAATGCTTCCATCATCGACATGGGTGAGGAGAGTGAGAACCAGCTCTCCAAATCAGACGTTGTGCTGTCTTTCTCCCTGGAGGTAAAAAGCCCTAAACCCTTGAAAGTTTCCTGGCATAGCCAGGAGGATGTGGGTGATTAGATGCACCACAATCAACTTGCTTTCGTCCTTGAACCCCCAGAGCAGTTATTAAAATAACAGCTTACTCAGCATAGGTCAGCTAATCAGCAAGTGCTTCCCCATCTCCAGGAGCCCATGCTTTCCTTAAGGAAATGCAGTCTTAAGAACCACCTACTAAATTTAATCCTGCATTATTTTCCATCTTAAAGTAATGATCAAGGATTTTGTAAAGACCTTATGCAATTTAGAAATTTTAAGATTTTGGCATCCTGTGTCACAGTTATGAGGGAAATATCTAGCATCATTTGATGAGTTGTAGATTTTCTTTCCTGTTGTCTCTCCTGTTGGCTACACGGTAGAGAGCCTCTTGTTGCAGTGAAGGCTTTTTAGTTGATCTCATCACCCAAAGAAAGAACCTGTTCAGACTGGGAATGTGGCAGAATGCTCTACATGTCAATAAATCCTAACTTCTACTTACGTTTTATTTTCATACGTATAATTTAGGGAGTGGATCTAATCTGGCTACATTGGAATTGCCTGGGAAGCTGGTTCAGTGTGCAGATTCCTGGCATCACCCAGACCTATTGACCCAAATCTCGAGGCGGGGGAAATATGGTGCATTCACTTTGGAAAATAGTTTGGTGGTTTCTCCAACAAATGTTGGAGAGGTTGTGGAGAAAGGGGAACCCTCTTACACTGTTGGTGGGAATGCAAGTTGGTACAGCCACTTTGGAAAACAGTGTGGAGGTTCCTCAAAAATTTAAAAATAGAGCTACCCTATGACCCAGCAATTGCACTACTGGGTATTTACCCCAAAAACACAGATGTAGTGAAAAGAAGGGCCATATGCACCCCAGTGTTCATAGCAGCAATGTCCGCAATAGCCAAACTGTGGGAAGAGCCGAGATGCCCTTCAACAGATGAATGGATAAAGAAGATGTGGTCCATATATACAATGGAATATTACTGAGCCATCAGAAAGGATGAATACCCAACTTTTACATCAACATGGATGGGACTGGAGGAGATTATGCTAAGTGAAATAAGTCAAGCAGAGAAAGTCAATTATTATATGGTTTCACTTATTTGTGGAACATAAGGAATAGCATGGAGGACATTAGGAGAAGGAAGGGAAAAATGAGGGGGGAATTGGAGGGAGAGTTGAACCATGAGAGACTATGGACTCTGAGAAACAAACAAGGTTTTGCGGGTGAGGGGGATTGGTTAGCCCAGTGATGGGTATTAAGGAGGGCACATACTGCATGGAGCACTGGGTGTTATACAAAAACAATGGATCGTGGATCACCACATCAAAAACCAATGATGTATTGTATGGTGACTAACATAACATAATAAAATTTAAAAAAAAATAGTTTGGTGGTTTCTCAAAAAGCTAAACATAAATTTACCACTTGTAGAGTACAATTCTACTCTTAGATATCTACCCAAGAGAAATGAAAGCACATGTCCCCATAAAATCTTGCTCCCCAAATGTTTATAGCAGCATTATTCTTACTAGCCAAAAATAGAAACAACCTAAATGTGTATCCACTGGTAAATGGATAGACAAAATGTGGTACATCCATACAAGGGGTTACTATTCAGCACTTGAAAGAAAGAAACTACAGATATATGCTTTGATTTAGATGAATGTCAAAAATATTCTGCTTAGTGAAAGAAGGCAGACACAAGAGACACATGTTGTTTGATTCCATTGATATAGAATGTCTAGAAAAGGCAAGTCTCTAGAAACAGAAATTATATTAGTGTTGCCTGGAACAGGAAGTGGAAATGGACATGAAGGACATTATTGGGGGAGATAAGAATGTTCTAAAACTAATTTATGATGATAGTCACACAACTTAGTAAATTTACTAAATCATTGCATTGTACACTTGAAATGGGTTAATTATATGATCTGTAAAATATACCTCAATGGTGTCAGAACCATTCATAACTTATTAAAACTCAGAACCCCACAAAGATTTTATGATAGCCTTAGACTTGGGGAGACCAAGAGAATAGATCCAATTTCTGTAGATTTAATTAGGATTTGTAAAGACTACATTAATTTTCTAGAACATCATTAAGGCTTGCTGTGAATTAACTGCAAATAATTTGTTTTACTGTGCTCAATTCAGCTCAAGATAGTCATATTACAGTGTTTCAACATGTATTTTGCAGTTGGAAGAGGCAGTATTCAGTTAAATATAGGGCACTTGGTGTGTGAAAAAATCATCAGTGTAATTTCACAGAAACTTACTTCCTTTCTTTCTTTTTTAATACTGCCACCTGAGGTACTGAATGCTTTTTCTTAGGTGTCTTTGAATTTGATTATTGCCAATTAGAGGTGGCAATTTATTCCCTACTGCCTCTTGTCTTTCCACAGGAAGTGGGAAAAAAGTGGTTTATTGATTTTCATGAAGCTTTTAAATCCATAATTTCTTAATTCTTTATCTGTACTCAATATTATACAGCTGATTATCTGAAATATAGATGTGAGTGAGTCTCCAACCACACTTCCATGTGCACATGATTCAAACAGGCTTTAACTTATAAGCACAAGTACAGAATGCAATTCCCTAGGGCTCCCAAATACTTTTTACTTGGAACACTAAATTGCACATATACTAAAACTGCCAACAAAAATCATTGTGCATCTGTGTGTTGGGTGACACAGTGAGGGGGGATGAGAAGAGGGAGATAGAGGATTATCATCTCATCAGGGCAGACTGAGTTTGAATTTGCTGGTTGGTACAAGACATGTTTCATGAACTTATAGAATTGCATGGCTGGGAAGGACACTATAGAGCAGTTAACTGCAGCAGGAGAACTGAGGCCCAGGCTGCCCAGTGGCACGGCCTTGTGCCAGGGGAGTACTCTGAGGGAAAACAATGGGCATATGTAGAGGGCCATTAAGCCTACTTTGCATCATTCCCTCAGTGAATCCTCACAACAATCTTTTGAGCCATTTGCAGATGTGGAAACAAAGCCGCAGAGAGGTTAAGGAACTTATAAATGATTATACAGCTAGTGAAGATCAGATTCAGGATTTGAACTCAAATCTTTTAAATTACAAAAAAATGCTGTTCTTTCTACTGTGCCTCGCATTTCCTTTCATTTGTATGATTCTTCCCAGTATGAAAATTTTCAATTACCTACATCATCTTATTTGGTCCTCACACAACAGGGGATATAGGACATATATTATTATCCCCCATTTTACAGATGAAGAGACTGAGACTCAGGAGATTTGAAAGAAAAGTGGAATGACTTCACAGCCAAGTCATTTGCCCAACATCACATGAGTAATACAGTGGTTCTCAAAGTATGGCTCCTGGATCATCAGCATCAACATCAGCAGCACCAGGGAAATTATTAGAAATAAAAAGTCTTGGGCTCCATCCCAGACCTGCTTATCAGAAATTCTGGGGGTGGAGCCCAGCAGTTTCTGGGTTTAGTAAGCTCTCCAGATATTTCTGATTTGCACTAAGGCCCTATTGTACTTCCTTGAATCAAGCCCATTGAAGAAGTGTACACACCGGATGTTGTATTTTAGTGATGAATTACTAAATTCTACTCCTGAAACCAATATTGCACTGCATGTTAACTAAGTAGAATTTAAATAAAAATTTTGAAAAAAAGAAAGAAGTGTACCTTTTTTGCACAACCATATCCTTCTCTGTGTGTCCTGCCATTACCTCTTTTGGAGTACAACTGAGTGATACTTTTATATCCCTTGCTTACTATAGATCCCTGATGCAGGTCATTTGTTTCAGAATTTTAAATCGGTATATTTGCCCTATCCTCCCCTCCTGTCCTCTCCCCTCTGATAAATGACAGGACATACCACTGGATATGAGAATAGCAGGTGATTGAATGGAGTTAAGGGTAGTGGTGGGAAGTGCCAGGAATTGTAAAGGATATATGTTGGTCCAGCAAAACACCAGCTTTTTTCCTCAGTCTAGAACAGAGAGTATGCAGCTGCAGACATGTTTTTGTTTTGATTCAACCATGTTGGCCTGCCCAGAGTTTGTGTATTTTATTCCTCCCTTTTTGGATTATTGTCAAAACTTCAAAATCAGATTTCTGACTTTGATTCTGATTCAGATTTCCATTTTCTGGTAGGAAAAATTGCAGTATCTGGCAACTCCAGACTAAGGAAAGACAAGGCCACAATGGACTGCAACTGTGTACCAACTGCTCTGTTTGGATGGAGCATATGCTCTCCTCTTTTGCCCCAGGCCTCACTACTCCCTCTGCATCTCCAACTCTAATGCTGAATAGTTATTTGCCCTTTATCTTAGCATTTGTTTTATCACTTATCTCATTGTAAAAGAGAAAAGTGAATTTCTGGGCCTTTGTCTCTTCCAAGTTCTGAATTAAAAGCTAGACTATTTTTAAAGAAAATAAGAGAGAGCCTATTTCTTTGCAGAAATGAAAAATGATCTTATGCATTCAACCCAGGGAACAAGCAGCCCATTTCACATTACCTGTCTAGCCCCTGTGAGCTTCTAAAGTAGTGAGGGTTGTCTTTCCATCCGGGAGGCAATCAGTTACACTATGAAGAATGGTATCTTCATGCTAGACTGGTACCAGCCTGACTGATAGAAAACTGATAAAAGCCACCAGATACCTGTTGGGTTTTTTGGTAACTTCTTCCCATCTCTATATTTTCTTCTGAGGGATGCTGTCCATGGGCTTTGGCAGTAACCGCCACCATGTGTGATTCTCTTTCCAGGTGGTGATCATGGAAGTCCAAGGCCTCAAATCCTTGGCTCCCAATCGCATTGTATATTGCACAATGGAGGTGGAAGGAGGAGAGAAACTACAGACTGACCAGGCTGAGGCTTCTAAACCAACGTAAGTTCTGCTCCTCCACAGTTCATCTTCCAGAAGGCTGTTCTCATTGACACCATTTTGTCTAACTCCAAGTTAAAGGTCTGGTTTCCCCAGAAGGTTCTAGAAGGCATGTACCTTGTTTGTTTTCCAAACAAGATGACTTGATTACATTCTTATTCAGCAGCCATAATAAGGATTCCAGTTCTTTAAGAGCAGAGAACAGAAGGAAAGTAAAAAAACAATCTCCTTTCTGGAGGCTTTATATATTCACCTCAGCTTCAATCCTTTGATACGATGTGTAGGAGAGTTTGATACAAATTTGTTTTATAAGATTTGCTAAATCACATTTGGTTCATGGTATAAGCAATTTTTTCAAAATCTTTCTCTATGTGCCACAGTTATGACTATGTCAGTATATCAGTGTGTTATATTAGATATAATACATTAATTCATTTGGTCAACACATATTTGTCAAATGCTCAGTGTGTGTGTACAAGGTAGTGTTGCCCAGTGGAGAGGAAGATAGTCACTGCTGTAGCCCTACAGAGCTCACCATTGAGTGGAAGGATCAGAAATATAATCACATAAATATATAATTACAAATAGTTATAAATGCTGAAAAGGAAAGAGTGCTTTGAGAGGAGGTAGCAGGGGACCTAAATCACTTTGTGGGGACAGAGTCAGAGTAGGCCTTCTTTAGGAGCTATAAGACATTCGAGCTAGTATTATAAAAGTTGAGTGAGATGGGGTGGGAATAGAAAGAGCATTCCAGGCAGAGTCAGCTTGTGTAAAGGCCCTGTGGTCAGCAAAGGCCCTGTAGGAAAGCAGAATGGAAGGAAGGTTGGTGGGGCTAGAGTTCAGAGAACAAGGTATGCCAGAAGCTGTCAGTGAGGCAGGAAGGGACCACACAATGAAGGGCCTTGCTAGACCATGGAGAGGAAAGTACAGGGATAGGTGATTAGATATGTGTTTTAAAAAGATCACTGTGGCTGCAGCGGAGTGAGCCAGAGTTGATGCGGGAGACCAGCTAGGATTCTATGGCAGTGGTTCATAAGAGTGATGATGATCAATTCATTTGGGTCAGTAGAATCTCAGGCCTCAACAATTCTGGAGAGGTCACTGCCTTTTTCCCTCCCTACCCACTGCCTCTTTCCCTTCCTTTTCTGTCTCAATTAAGCCAGCCTAGACTAATGAGCATTCTTTTTTTATTTTTATTAATTCATAAAAGTCAAAAAAACGGTAACTCCTGATAGCAATGTACTTCCTCTCTTCCCCAGAGCATTATGAACTGTTTAGCAGAACATGAATAACTTACCAGCATGTTCAAACAAAATAGTTCAAATCTGAGGGCATTGTATGCCTTCAAGTGGTTCTTTGCATGAATAGGCAAAGGCCTCAGATCTCAGAAGTTGGGCAAAATTAATGAATGTAAGCAAGAAGAAACAAAAACCAATACAACTTGTCACACACTATCCTTCCTCCCTTTTTTTAAACTTAGTTTTAAACTGAAAATGAATGCAGTTTCTTTTTTACTGCCTGCCTTTGATAAAAATCCTAATTTCTCCCACACCTGTCACCATGGCCTGATGGCTATCAATGCTATCATGTATTATGTTATGCTGCATTATTTATCCATGCTTTTAAAAATGTGTCATGTGTTGGGGAAGAAAAACCTATTTGATGTTTCTGCCAACTTTTTAGATGATGGGCCCAATATGGTGTCATAAGATAGAGAAGGAAGGAGAAAGCTCTGATTATTCTAACAGGCTGTTGTTTCATATGAACTATTTTAACTTAAAACATAATTCATATCATTTTATTGGGTTTAAAAGTTTCAGCTGCCAGGGTAAATGATGAGCTGATTTTCCTGTGCTTATGAATGTTTAAAACAGAGTTTCAGATTACAAATAAATATGGAACACTTTGGTCTACCTACTTGAAATACTCATATCTCATAAATGTATTTACTCATATCCACACATGTGCATTATTATGTCCATATGAATAAATATCTCACACTGAAACATTTTGCTTTTCTAGCCAAAAGTATAATAATTTATTTCTCTTCCATCAGTGAGCAGGTATTACTAAAACCTCACAGAGGATTTGCTTGTTTGTTTTTAAATACATTAAGAATGCAAGTTTCATGGCTAGGGTCAAGTCAAATCAGTCAATAGTGGCTACTTTGAGTGCTGTGTTAGAAGAGTTCTGAGGGCAAATCTATACTCAGAGGAAAATAGTACATGATAAACTTGTTATGTCTGCCATAGGAGAAAAAAAAGGCATAAGTGCCCTGTATTTGCCATTTCTTAGTATCCCAAAGAGATATACCCAGAGTCTGAAATCTAGCAATGCTTGTATTTCTTGCTGTCTCTTTTTTTATCCTTTCTATATCAATTCTCTTTAAACCTCCACTCATCTTCCTTCTAAATCCACAATTCTTTTCCCAATTCTCTTCTTTACCTTTTTCTTTGTCATCATTCAGTTCTGGAAGTTTTTCTCTGCCTCTGGCTTTATCTGGTTGGATGAATGACCCTGTTGGTGCAGGTACATTTTCTTCCTCTCTCCCTAGTTTGGACTTACTCAAAATCCTCTCTGTCATTCTTTTTTCTTTGAAACTTGTATTTCTTCTCCTTTTCTTCTCTACTTCTACTTATAATTGTTCCCATTACCAATCCCCAGCTATCATGTCTGCTACTTGATTTTGATTACCCCCAAAAGTATCCTTTTGAGGGTTATCTTTCATCTATCCTAATAATTCCACTTTGTCATCTGACAAGTTTAGCCCTTTTCCTGCCCTACTCATCTTCTGAATCTCATCTTTGACTCTTCTTACAGCCCCCGATGCCCCTACTTTATTTATACATTCTAAAATCAAAATTCAATTCAAGCCAGTTTATTTGTTACTCATTAATTCTATTGTTGCTGCTACTAGGAATTTTACCCAGTAACTGGAAACCCACATCTTATCCCATCATGTCTACAAGGAATTTGACTTTTGTTTTGTTGTTTTGTTTTGTTTTTTACCAAGTACAGTCACAAATCCAGAAGTACATCGCATAACCCACTTTGTCCAAGGGTGTATTTTTTTAGAACTCTAATGTAGAGACGACTCCAATAAAAACAAGGGCAGGGAGAGTGGTGCCATGATTAAGTTTGGGAAATGCAAGACATTACATGTCTTTCTGAGTTTTTCAGTGTTCATCAGCATTTAAAAACCTTTGAAGATTTCCAACAGTAAATAAACCTATTTAGCTTTGTTTATTCATGAGTTTCCCAAACTTATTTCAACTAATACCTATTAGCATCCATTGGAAATGCTAGTCTATTATTGTCCAAACCTAGGAATGGAAGTTCTAAGCTCTCCCTCACCTCCTTAGCCAGTGCTATCTCTTCAGTTACAACCAGGGCCCTGCCTGGCATGATCATTTTGGATCAGGTGCATAATATAAGAATGCTGTGTTCATGAGTTAAATATACTTTGTGATTGGAAAAAATGGTGTGTGTGTGTGTATCCTCTGTTAGTCCTTCATTTTATCAATCTGGGTGCTACATGTGGGATATTTTCAAGCAGACTATATATCCTCTCAATTCAGTTGTCCTCCTCCCCTGGGTTTTAACGTGGAAAGCCAGGAAAATATGTTATCACAAGTTTTCAAGCAATATATTTATTTCAAAGAATATTGTCTCCATTTGTAATACATTGTTTCTGCTTCTGTGGGAAAGCAATGGAGGTGCTGAGGCAGAAGTAATTGAAATCGTGTCTTTAGGCAGGCAATCTCAGGAAGGCATGAGAATGGAGAAGAGAAATACTTTGTGGATTCAAGAAGTCAGATATATTTGTCCACCTCCTATGAAACAGAGCAGACTTTTCTTCCTATGCCAGGTGTTTTTCAAAAGACAGCACTCTTAGCTCTGCTGATAACAGATTATGTTAGGTTTTAACAAGACATGGCTTTGAGTAAAATCAAGTCATGTGATAAGGAAGTAACTGCTTTTCCATTTGTTTATCAGTTCTGATCAGGTTCAGGAGAATGTTTTTATTTGGTTCTAGTAGATTGTTAACACCCCCAGAGGCCTCAGGCTCTGCGTCTTCTGCAGACAAGAGCCTCCAATTAGAATTTCATAGCATTGCTTAGATCTCACTTATCCAAAAATGTTTTCTGTGTACTGGGCCTTGGAGTGGTTTAAATGGAAAGAGAATACCTTTTCTGAATGTCTCCTTTGAAGTGTAGATCTAAGGGAAAGACAGGAGGGGTAGGCACTTGCACACCCTCCACAAGTATACCTGTGATGCCTTCCTTGTGTCCACCTTAGGCTGGGGCTACAGCCTTGACATAGATCTGGCTTTGGCCTCGTAGAGTGGACATTCTAGTAAAGGGCACAGTCAGTAAACATATGAACAAATAAACAGGTAAAGCAATAACAGTTTCTAATTTGTGTTACCTTCCATTCATGACTGGTGGTGCTGCTTTGTCTTCTGCATCAGTGACATAAGTGTTCTTCTTTAAAGAAATATATTAACATTTAAAAGTGAATTAATTTAAATAAAATATATTAAGTAAATAATAGTCCAGGTGGTACCTGGATATGATTAAAAATTAATCACAGAAGTATCCTGTATTGATACGTGGGAATAGCAAAGATGGGGAAGATGGTATGCAAATTATTTTAATTTGGGAAAATTGATGTAAGAAAACAGAACATATTCCCTAAGTAGAAGATATACTTCAAAGTGACTTTCTTGGAGGATTTGTACCATGTAAGTTACCCTCTAAAGAAAGTAACCCCTGAGGATTAAATGCCAGAGAAATTTAAGTAATTGGGCTAAAAAGAAAGGCAGTTTTAGTTAGCAGTCCAATATTGTGCTAAATTATCTGAAATTGTATTCCTCTGAATGGAAACCAAGGATGCTACTTGACATTTGATTATTTAACCAGTTTATTATTCCCTGACAAGCCACGGGCTTCATGACGTATGGATTTCATTATTGTCAGGAATTAGAAAACACAACCAGACTG